CTTCCTTCTCTGACTGCAACAGGTAGAACATGATTACTTGATACGTCGATGGTTTTATACTTCTGATAAAGAAGATGGAACGATATTAATTACCGGTAACTAAGGAAAAAAAATCAACACAACAGTCGATTTTCCACTATGACTTCCAATAGACGCCCCAGAATTTGGCAAAATATGTTCCATTCTTATATAATTTATACATATTCTGAAAGAGGACACTCAGGGCTACTAGAATATGTGTTTTTTCAAAAATCGAGTTTTTTAAGAAAAATCGACTTTCTGAGGGGGGGTTCCCCCTTAACTATTTTGTTCATGATGTTTTTCGACCAGTACAATCAACAATAAAATTACCATAAATATCTAATGATGATGAACCAACATTATGTTTAAATCGATATTTTACACCTTGAACAGTATTAGCTGATCGATCAACAATTAATTGAATTACTCTTGCGTTACATATTCATTCAATTTGTTTTCCATATTGTAAACACAATTCTTTTCTCAATGTTATTTCTAATGTAAAACGATCAATACCTAAGCATTCAAAATCTTCAGTTAAATTTTGATTCAATAAAATACCATTAATAACAAGTCTTGCTTCATTTTTTAATGAATATGGACGAATATCATATTCATTTATTAATTTATCTTTTAAATGAGGAAATAACTTATGTAATATATTAAATCCTTCACGTAAGACTATATGTGTTTGATAGATTTGACTAACACCTGAACGTCCTATTGATGTTGGACTTTCAAGACGACAACGATAATCTAATATTTCGTTGGGTGTAGATTTATTGAAAGTATCACTTAATACATCATCTGATTCTATGATTGTTATTCGTTTGAAATATTTTGATAAATAAGCAGCAGTAACCATTCCTCCAAAACTATCTCCGATAATTTTAGCATGATCGTATTCAGGAAGGGTGTGGGTGTGTGTGGGTGTGGGTATGGGGTGTGAGTGTGTGTGTGGGGTGTGAGTGTGGGTGTGGGTGGGGGTGGGGGCGTGGTAGAGATGAAGATTCACACCAACATCCATACCCACACCCACTCCCACACACCCACACTAGAGCCCATCGGGTTCAAGAATTTCTGGACCCGAACCCTGTGAAATTAATTTTTTCTGGACCCGGACCCGGACCCGAACCTGGATCCGGCCGATCAAGATTTTCCGACTCGGACCTGATTGATCATTTTTTTGTGGGTCCGAACTTGATTCATACTCTTAGTTTTCATTATATGCATCAAAAGTTTTTTTGATTCGGTCCCAATGAGCAAAAAGTTTCAGACCGGACCTGGACCCGGACCCGGACCCGATGGGCTCTGACCCACACCCACCCACACCCATCTCAATAACTTTCATTCAATATGAATTTCTTTGAATTTCCATTCATCTAAAAGCATTTTAAACATGAATGGTCAAATCATGAACGAATAAACTAGGGTGTGGGTGGAAGAAAGAGACAGATCCACACCCACATCTAAAGACCATGTTTCAACTTCTACCATTATGCTCGCCAGATTTTATTGTTTTCCTTTTCTACTGACTAGTCAAGACAAGATCAGCAAACAAAATGGACTAGACATAGCAGCGTTTCTAACAATCAATCATAATAGGTTATATAGTTATTTTATGTGCATCATGTCGTCCGTCGTTTTAAGTCGATTCGCATTTTTCATTGACCTTTTGTTTTTTTAGATTACATACTATTTATATAGCCACTTTATACATTGAACGATGGCAGATAAGATCAAACAAGTCAACTAGTATATTGAATAAAAACGAAAAACTATCGAACTTTATTTATTTTATACGAAATATTATTTTCTGAAAAGGGTGGGTGTGGGTGTGGGTGTGGGTGGGTCACCCACCC